AAAAGCCAGAACTAGGGAGCTACTTATGCTGAACAGAAGTGGCATCCGACTTGTCACAGGTTTTCTAACTGGACACTGCGGAGTTAAAAAACATTTATTGAATCTAGGTATTACTGGAGACGATAGCTGTAGACTTTGTTACGAAGAAGAGGAAACAGCAGGACACATATTGTGTCACTGTGATAGTCTTGCAAGACTCAGACTTCGCTACTTATCCATTGCCTATCCGCTTATAACGGAATTAGGCAACATCTCTCCAAAGGACATACTGGCATTCTTAACTGCTACTCGTCTATGGAACTGAAGCGGGCATGTCACAATAATCCTCGAAGATGCAGTGACGCGGTGACTACTTCCCAACCTTTCTTTTGGAAAAAAAAAAAAACGTGGGTATCACTTGAAATGAGAACACGAAATCAAATAGACCATATTTGTGTTACGACAAAACGGAGTAACTGTTCCTTACGCTTGTGAATCTAGATATTTCTTCCCACAACTTTAATGAATGTTTTCTTTTTTTTTTGTTAAATAATAAACGCTGCTATACACAGAAGTGTCCCTTATTTAAATTTTTATAACGAACCCTGGTATACTCGTTGAGTTATACCCCAGGTGTAGAGAGAGGGCCGGAAAAGTCGTTACAGTACTTATTGAGTAATGTTAAATAACATACAAAAAATGTAACGTAACTTCACGTAATTAAAATTATTTTTTTAAATTTTTTAAATTATTTTGTCACTTTATTACCCTATGCTGTTCGAAATAGATATCTTGGCATGGAACATTAATTTGCGCTTGCCAAATATCTCTGCAAATATCGAACCTAGAACCTGGAAAGAACTGGAATTAATTGTATTACATATGTCCAGTTATTTGCGAAAGCTTAAGCGTTGGTGGCCCATGCAATATAAAATCGTTTCGTGTACCAACAGCAATAAATAATAACTTGAAATTAGAACTAAAATTATTTTCAGATACAAAGTTGAACATGACTTTGTAATTAATCTTTAATATTTTATAAATTTTTATATTAACATAATTTAACATCTATATTTATAATATCGAGCTCTTGGGTATTGTCGCGCAGTCTTAACTGTGTCTATTTTTGAGGTAAGGGGGAATTTTTTTGTATAAACGGGCTCTAAACGAGTGTTTTTGTGGCACTTCTTCAACTTTATTTTTTGACGCGGAAACTGAGAAGTCAATTGAGATGCCAGTTTTGAAGAGCAACTATTTGGTACCAAAAGATGGTTTTTTGATTTGGGTTGCTGCCATTACTTATATATTACATATATAGAACAAACTTGAAGTCACTGTGGATGCTTGTGAGACAAAAAATTTGACAATATTTTATTTCCATACAACAAATAGTTTTCGATTTTTAAAATTTAAATGAAATACTCATATCGTTCTATATAACTTAAAACTTTATATAGTTTTATGCATTAATAAAATTAAATAGCGAGGTTTAGAGGTTTTGAAAAGTAGTGAACTACAATAGCAAAAATTCTTTTTATATGGAATTTAAATTAATTGAATTTTTGGCCGAATAAAACTTTCAATTGAAACGTTCAAAATATTTCAACATTTTTAGCATTCTTAAAAATTAATTATTTTATTATCAAGAGGATAGTGATAACCTATGTATATAATATACATGTCATATTTATATAGTTATTTAAAACTATATTTGTACAGAGATTTCAGTATAAATAACTGTCTTATATGTGTCCAAGAGCGGTTGTAGTAATACTGCGCCCTGAGAAAGAAGTCAAACAAACTACGAAATATATACCATATATACTTCGAATAATTTATAAGCTTTTATTTTCCAAAAATATATATATATTTTCAAATATAGAAATAAATGGAATCAGTTTAAAAGCACATCATATTATTGTATGCAACCTTCTTTAATATTAAAAACTGACCAACGAATGTTGTTAAGCAACTTTGTTACTATAAAATCGAAATATGAGGCTAAGAAGTAGTGTAAGTCCCTTTTTTTAACATTTTTAACTTAAAATCGGCTGCATATTCAAACACTGTAGAAGAAGGTGCACTTGTTGCGATACAAAGGGTATTTTGTTGGTTAATTATCTTTAAACTGTTAAAATAATTAGACCATACTCATCTCACACTTAGTGTACAGAAGAAAATAATTATTTTCTATCAAAGCTACACCTACTTAGAGAGTTTACAAAACAATCGCTCAATTAATTAAAATCTTAGGTAATGACAAAATTGACAGTTCTTCGGAACAATGGAGATAATTTTTATATGCCAAGGGCCCTTTGCCAGTACCGTGGCCCCGTTGAGAGTAACGTTTGTACTCGTATATTCCGTTTGATTTTGTATGTCGCGAACTCTAAAAGATATGTCAAGTATTTCTCCGATAGATATATTTGATCAATATATTTTTGTTATAATACAATTTTAGTTATAATAAATAGAGCTGGCACTATTTTGTTATGATTTATATTGTTGTGAAGTTCAACAATATTAACTTGACAACACTGTTCCAATAAATCCCAAATTTTTAGAAAAATGTTATAATTTACAGATTATAAGATATCATTTACTTTTAAAAGAATTTGAATATAATTTATTCGACTCGTATTGCAACTTAACTCAAGTGTACCTAAGGGCATTTTGCGTCAGATTGGATTTAACTGAAGTAACTACATTAGATTAACATGCATTCAGCATACTGAATGGTATGAATGTGGTAATGTATACCGGACAAATCGAATAATAATTTACATGTCAAAGAGTACTAAAAGCAAAGCTGAAATTGTTATTTTCAATTAAGTTCAAATTCACTTAAAACTAAGCAAAATAGCAGTGCATAGTCTCACTAATAATGCAACGCATGAAAAGGTATCATCGACAGCTTCACGAGCAGTGCAATTTTGTAGTACACAGCAAAACATTTGGAAACCAACCAACCTACTTTTTTTAACAATTTTCAGTGACCGATTTAATGTTTAACTCATTAAATGGAACTGAAAAGCAACGTATACTTTATCATACTTTAGATTTTTCTGTTCAGGTATATGTATACCATACATATACAGGGTGTTAGTAAAACCTTATAGTGCTTTCACTATTTCACAGTTGCGCTGAAACACTGCAATGCTTACAACTACTTTTTAAACACAACAACCTTAGCGCGAAGAACAGAAAACTGATGTATAGCCAGATAATTAGACCAGCATTACTTTATGGGTGTGTCGCGTATAGCAAAGCTGCCGACTCTACTGTACAAAAGCTGCAAGTTGCTCAAAGTCAGGCTCTCCGAAGACTCTTCAAAGTGCCTTGGTACATCCGCACAAACGACATGCTAAGAGACCTTAGAATACACCTGATCAAAAAATACATAAGGGACAGACCGCTGAAAATATATGCGAAAACTGAGAGGCTATCCTACTTAGCACTATCTAATCTTAGAGTAATCACTCTCCGCACGGGAAGGTACGCAGATCTTCACTGAATCAATCACTGAATAATCATGAAGCTTATAAGGAATACATAAATTAGTCAATGAGATGGGTGGGACCCTGTAGTACCCCCAGATATCAAAGAGTAAAGTGCCCAGTTGCGCTGGCTCGAAAAAATAATCAACATATTTTATTCCATATTTTTTTAATATAGATAACCATTTATTCCAATGATGTTCTCAAAAAAAAACCTTGCAATATATGTTGAAAAGTATATTAAATATCTGAAAGTACGTTCTATTAAACAGCTATATATTTATTCATCTGCTGTAGTTTTCGAAATTCTTCCCACTTTTATCTTAAATGGCATTTACTGTGGCCTCAAATGGCTCATTTCAAATGAGTCATTTGAAAGTGTTTACATTCATTGTAATTCATTTGTTCTCATTTGAAACAGCTGATTTTTCAACTTGCCTGTTGATTTGATTTTTGGTCTGTGCCAAAAAAATTTTGGATGTAGGTTATATATACCTACAAACATTACAATATAAACTGTAAACTTATTTTTAGCTTTGATTAATTTATTTTTGGGAAGTAAAAGTTCCAAAAAGAGATGCATCGTTTTCAAGAAAATGCAACAACCAAATATTTGTTTACCTTTCTTTTTTTGTAAATATGTCAAACTGTCAAGTTTTCTCAAACTGTCAAAATGACATGAAAAACTTTTATTTAGGATATGTTCAATGTATTTATTTGCATTCGGAACGTATTTGGAACTCATTTATACAATATTAGAAAATGGATCATTTTTGATTTTTGACCAAAATGAGCCATTTGAAGGCAGTGTAAATGCCATATAACAGAAGTAACAGCATCAATTTTCCTTCTACTAAAGTGGTCAGTAATATCACTGGCACACTTAATAACAATTAGACTGCAAAATTAGATAAATTGCTGCCAGAACTGTTCAGATATATATAAATATCGCGAACATTATATCATACGTTTTGTACCTGATTGTGAAGGATATATGGACTATGGCAACTGTTTCCAAAGACTGGTGGAAAGAACTAATTGTTACAACACCAAAAAAAAAAAAAAGACGACAACAACTATTACCAAATTTAAGACGTGTGACATTATTTACTATAGTTCAATAAATCTTTGTTCACATTTTTGTTCAGAATGGTACCAACATTTAACTCATTAATACGTCATGAACGAAATATCGATTATTCACACTCCCTATAATAGTATAATTCTTAGAAATAAAATCATGACAACTGTATTTTTGTACTAATTATTAATTTGTAATTGCAGTGGAAACTTAAATATCTTTTGCAAACTCCATAAATTAATTCAAAGCAAACAAAAAAATTTTCGATATGTATGTTATCGTGATTTCTGCCGATATATTACACCCTATGAAAAAACTATGTTCATGCGTAACTACGCTTGATGGTGTAAGCGGTCTATTAAATAAAGACAAAAAGGGGGTATACCATGTTAGTTTTATATAAAATTTTGACATCTCATGTTTAAAATTTTCTTTAGTGAACTTCGCGTCTTATAATTATTTCAAATAATTTCTAATTGTACATTTCATTATAATTAATTTTTAACTAAGTTCAAGTTAAAAATCTGCAATTAAAGTAAAGTAATAATGGAATCCATACAAAATAAAACCGACGCTATGGAATTATTGCGCTATGCAATTGAGTTAGAATATACCGGAGATATTAAAAAAGCCATAGAGTTTTATCAAAAGGCCATAAATGAATTTATTAAAGAAATGGAAAAACAACCGACGGAGGCTCTTTATGGTCTTTACTTTAATTTTGTTTTGAAATATATTGATAGGATTCAAGATCTAAAGAACAAATTTCCAGAAATAGTTAAGGAACCCACTCTTGAAGAAGATTCTTCAAAGGCCTTAAATTGCACCATGGATCAGAAGGAGATAAAGGACAACGGTAAATGTAAACTAATCTTACTAATGAGTATTCACAATATTAGCTATTGCGCTGAAACTTAAGATTTTTACAATAAGTTATAGTTAGTTATACTCAGATAGTGTTCTTAATTTATATGCAGACGAACCGTCTGGTGAGACTCAAAAAGACACTGTTACTGATAACAGTAATGGGGACTATGCCGGTTTAACAGATTCCACAATTGACGAAGACTATACCGGAGGAGATGGTATTACATCTGTTGAACATCGCTCTTAAATTCCTGAACAGCCTTTACTGACAAATTGTCAACAAAAAAACAAAAAAATTGTTAATTAAAATGGTAAGTACTTCAACTGAAATGGTAGTTTACATTCAATATACAACGAAGCCAAAAAAAAGAGAAGTTAATTTTTTAAATTACTTTTAGTGATTAAAAATAATTAAAATAATTCGCTTACTATTAAAGTTGAAACAAAAATATAAAAATTATATTTTAAATTTCAGATACATTCAAATTTATTTAATATATATGATGGAGGACTTACTTTTTAGCTTCAATAACTGGAAGTTATGGAAACTCAATAGGAATCAAAAAAAAAACCTCAAAAAACCAAAAAAAAATATGAACAAAAAGAAAAAAACGAAACAAAAAAAAAGAAATTAATAAATAAAAAAAAAATTGTACTATTGAAACAATTCAATCAAATCAATAAAATGAAAACATAAGATATAGAATATTACTCCTTTACTTACATTAAGACTGAAAAGTTTTCGGAAATTCTCATTTAAAATTCGCGCGCTGTATATTTTTCGATATTTTAAGTTTATGTAGTTTGGCAGCACTGTCCTTAATTACTATGCCAAAAATGAGCGCGATCTGTCAGACAGTTCGTTTACGGCAGCTGTTGAAACCAGTTCACCTCAGTAGTGCGTTGCGAAATGTCTTCGACGGTCTTACGACCGTCCTGAAAGGCTTTGTACCACTCATAAACTTGAGTTTTCGATAAAACTGATTCCCCATAAGCCTTTTGTAGCATTCGCAACGATTCTGCACACGAAATTCGTTCGAAACACAAAATTTGATGCAAACTCTTTGTTCAATATTTTTTTCCATTGTTTTTTTCGCAACGCACTACTGAGGTGAACTGGTTTCAACAGCTGCCGAAAACGAACTGTCTGACAGATCGCGCTCATTTTTGGCATAGTAATTAAGGACAGTGCTGCCAAACTACATAAACAAATATCGAAAAATATACAGCGCGCGAATTTTAAATGAGAATTTCCGAAAACTTTTCGGTCTTAATGTATATTTTAAGTCAGATATTGGTTCAATACTTTTCAGAATTACTCAGACGATTAAGTTTTAGTTCGTTTTTGCAGTACGGAAACTCTTACATAGAGCAAAAGTATTTGTGTAGATATAGCGAAAAGAATATACGCTTAAGTATATAGCATAGGTCCAAAGTAAACACTACTTGTAGTGCGGCTATCTTAAAGACATCATAAGACAAATGCTAGTAATGTAAGCAAAAATGCAATATACTGCTGAAATATTCAATAGTAATTTTGATCTTAACTAACGGTTAATTTTTTTATTGTTTTTAGTGTTGATAGCGAGCACTTTCACTCATTTTTAATGCTGTTTTCATGCAATTGTTTGCGGATTCTTTTTAATTTACTTGTTTTCCTGTTTTTTTTTTATAGTCTTATTAGCCACCAGATTTGTCTCATATTTGAGTTGCTTTTCACTTTTTTGTTGCTGTTAGATAGCAGACTTGCCTATCATTAGAAGTATATTTTGAAACCACCACAGCTCGATAGGTTTAATGCTTATAGAATTTTTATGAAAATCTTGTATAAAATTGTTTAGGAATATAGCTGAAAGATCAATAATAAATGAAATAATGGAGAATCATTAAGGTAGGATTTGTGACATTTGTTGGTTTGTTTTTCATGTTGTTTTTTTTGGCAGTATAATACTTTTTATTTTAGTTCAAAAACAGTATAATATTTCAATCCTAAAACTAATAGCTTCTAACTATTAACTCTATTGAGATGATTTTGGAAAATATAATTGAGTTATTAGTTATATTTTTGTTTGTTTTTAATTTAGTTACTCATTCTTTTGTATTTATTGGTTTTAGTTATTGTTCTCTTTTGAAACTATAGAATTTTATTTGGTGAATATATATATTATTATTATTGTTATTATAAGGTTATTATAAATCAGTACTGTTTATTTTTAATGTAGTTAAGGTTAATTTCTTATTATTACTATTTCTATTCCTTAAATTTGTTATATATTACCTTATATCTATGGTTATCCTATTATATATTATTATATTTCTAAAAATTTTATTTAGATTTCTCAATTAGATTAATTATTTTAACTAGAATATGAAATTCAGAATAAAAAACCAATACGAAACGAACGTTATCAGTATCAGCTGATAGTGTTAACATGACGATGTTTTATATCACTTATATATTTTTCTCCATTTTGATGAGTCTGGGCAGTTCCCAGACGAAACGCATAAGTGGTACCTAATAGAAGATAGAAAACTAATTTACAAAAATACTTTTTTTCAAATATCTATTGATATTCTAGTTATTCCCATAACACTAATTGCTTCCCCCATACCAGATATTTATTTATTCATTTATATTTATTAAATGATTTACTCATTTATTTACCTATCTAGTACTGTTCTTTTAATCATTCAATATGTATTGACTATTTTACTAGTATTGAAGATAGAACAGGGTTAAGCATAGCCTTTTTATTCGATTTTCTTGTTAGACATTCCACGGTGCTTACCTCCGGTGATTAGCCATCACAGTGTACTGTGGGCATGGCTTTGTAACCAGTATTTGGTTATCAAGGCATGATTGTGACAAATCTCCAGCTCAGATTCTGAGAGGATGTTCTATTTAAGATTACTGGGTTTTTCTACCTCCAAGTAAAACTATGGGTTTTTAGAATTTGCATTTTAGACTTATTTTTAAATAGCTTTTTCTTAGGCTCTGCATATTAAATGTATAATACTTTGGTTAGTTCACGAATATTTTTATTTATAATTATTTATTTTTTCATCTACTTAAATATATTAGAAATAACTAAACTTTTTACTACTTTGATTTTTACTTCTTAATCATGTTTTTTTTTTTGAAGTATAGGTAGATAGGTAGATGATAATTTAAATACTATACTATTTAAATACTTCTTCTTCTTCTTCTTCTTCTCTTCTTGAGTTAGTGCTATTACGCACTTTTACTCTATAATGGCTGGGGGGTTTGTCACTACCCCACACTAGGCTTTAACTAGGCTAAAAAATCATATCATTTATTTGTCTTTTAGTTGATGACGGACCTTAAATCAGCATATCTTCCTGAGAGTCCAGAAGTGGACTTGAGGATTGTTATGACGGGGTTAAGTAGCGTATCAACTTTAGTGAATAATTTTAAAGCTCTGTCTCTGATATATTTTTTCACTGAGTCAAT